TGAGTACTAAAAGTAAAACAAAAAAAATTAAAGTATATATGAACATGTTTTTAGTTATCACATGTTATATATGATAACTAAAAATATGTTCATATATACTTTAAAATCTAAGTTACATTAAATCTAGTTCTTAGTTTTAATTATTTAAATAAAAAATTGCTTCACAAAAATAAAAAAATAAAAATTTGAATCTTTTCAACTTGTAGTAAGAAATCTTAATTTATTAAAACTGTATCTAAAAAAAGTTTTTGTCTTTGACTATACTTAGTGAATACATACTAAATAAAATAAACAAAACAAAAAACAGACTATACTAAGTGAAAACATACATTCTAAACAAGACAATAAAGAAAGAAAAAAATTTAGAAAAAAAAAAAAAAGAATACTAAAGTAAAATAAACAAATACTAAAAAAAGTTAATAAGCACTATTAGTTCACAACTAATTATACAATTACACATAAGCACTATTAGTTCGCAACTAACTACACAATTAGTTCCAACTTGCCTTTTCACCTTGTATACTTATGTGTTGCATAGTTGCAATGGTTTCAAGCTTGCAATGGTTGCGACACACCGCTGCAATGATAGTCATAAGTATATCTACTTTACTTTTACAGTTTTTTTTTGATATTATTACTTTTGAGAAGCAATTATCTTGGCAAAACTCTATGATTTCGTGTTTTTGATAAATTTAAAAAGTATACTACTTTAAATATAAATGTTACCAAATTTGATATAAATAAGCTATCAACATTTAAATTTAAGATATTATGTAATTATAAAAACACAAAGTATAAATTAATTTGAATATCATCTATTTTCTGTGTTCTATTATGAGAACATTAGGCGGTATAAGGTTAAAGAAATAATGTAATATTTTCTCATAATGATTGTGTTATTGTATTTTTATTAGAACTTGCATATTATTGCCCATTAATAGAATGATTTGAATGTTTAATTTACTACAAAGTTTGCACTGGGGTTATTGTTTATTACAGTAGGAACCTACTTAGTTTATTTACAACCTTTTTGATACTATATGACCTGTGTTATAGGTCTTAGACATACTAATGTAGCATTAGTATGTCTAAATACCAAATGCCTGTTATATAATTGTATATATACACAAACAATCAAACATGTTGATATTAAACCATTTATTATAATTTTTTTTTGTTTAAATTTACTCATGAGTTAGCAGTTAGAAGTAATGTAGAAAATAAATTAATTAAAGAGATAAAAATATTTAATAGAAAATAACAAAATTTTCAGAAAAAATGAATAAAAGCACTGATATTAGCAGCAAAAAAAAGCATGAATAAAAAAAATTTGAGCACTTTTATTAATGAATAAAAACATTTTGAGCACAGCAATTTTATTAAATCTTCTTTTCATTTACTGTGTGCATGTTTAAATAAGTTTTACTCTCAACAATTTTTTTTTAAATGGTTGTGTAATTTGCATAATGTCATAAATAAAGGGCAAAAAACACAGAAATTTTTTTAGTTTAAAACTATTTTCAGAGCTTTCTATCTTGAAAACAAGGCATTTTTATTATAAAAGTAAGGTCAGGTTATCCTGCTATTGGTAACATGTAACCCAGTACAATCTGCTTCATGTCCTGCTGCCATGTAGGATACACCTTTTAAGGTAAAGTCTAGGAGATGCCAACACTGACATAAAACACCCCTGCCTTGGGGCTCTTGGTTGAGTAAAGGCTAAAGATGGTGTCTTGATAAAAATACTCATCTTGGGCAGATGTTAAATGCATCCGGCTGCTGTCTTGTAGAAGACCTCCTAGGCAAAGATTTAAGGGGTAAACAGATTCTATCTGTTGACCAGCCTTGCACCATTTCTTCATTTATTAGACTGGCACAGATGTATTTTTAATACATTGTTTCCAGCATAGGATGTTGAATGCTGGATCTTCCTGGGTTTTGCTTGTGTCTCTGCTTTTATGACTAGGCAACTGATTCTATTATCTACAATGAGGGTACAGCTCTAAAAATTAGTTTTCTGGTTCTGAGGCCAGCTGGTAGTCAGGTTTCCCAAACTCTGTGGTAGCTCTCAGAGAGGCTGATTCCATCAACAGCTGAGAAATATCAAAGTATTAACAGTGCCATGTTGCGCATGGATGGTGTCCCTGTTTGTACTTTTGGTGTGCATTGCCAAGGCCACATTGGAGCCCTTTGTTACGGCTTAGGGTTTATTTATAGTAATGAGGCAATTGCTTGGGCTATTAAATAGTGTACTAAGAACTATCTATGCTTTGAGTCGAATTCTTTAACAAATTTAAAAATGAATAAAGTAACAAAAAATATAAAACACAAAAAATCATTGCCATCGACAAGTTCTCTAAACCTATCATTCACTAATATTCATGGTAACTTTTCTTGTTGGTACTTTGAAGTAACTTTTCTTTTGTTCACTAGACCAACTTCACCAGACCTACTTGCTCTTTGCGAGACTAATTTGAGTTCAGCTGTCTCATCTTGTGATCTTGGTGTTGATAGTTATCTTTCTTTAATTCGTAAAGACTCCAAAAGTCATATGCTTAGCATGGGCATTTTCATTTGTAAGAATTCACCCATTTGTCGGAAAACTAGGTTTGAATCCACAGACTACTCTTTTATGTGCTTTCGTTTAGCACCACTTCACTCTATCGCCTTTCTCTTTGTTCTATATTGCTCTCCTTCATCTCAAGACTGCATGTTTCTTGATGTTATTTCTGATCATATTGACCAAGCCCTATCTCTTTATCCATCAGCCAATATTGTTGTTGTTGGTGACTTTAATGTTCATCACACTGAATGGCTTGGCTCTAGTGTCAGTGACTCTACAGGCATTAAAGGCCACAACTTTTGCCTTTCTCAATCCCAAACTCAAATAGTCAATCAAATAATCAACTTTCCAACTTGCTCTCCAGACAACTTCAATCATTTACCTTCACTACTCGATTTAAGTCTTGTTTCTGATCCTAGTCAGTGCTCAGTCTCTCCACATTCACCCTTAAGTGCTTCTGATCATAGTTTGATCTCTATAAAACTATTATCTGATTCTTTTTCATCATCAGAATCCCCCTATCATCTATCATATCGCACCTCTTAAACTACTATAAAGCTGACTGGGACTCTTTCTGTGATTTTTTTCATGATTGCCCGTGGGTAGAAATCTTTCGCCTTCCTGTTGACAAATGTGCTTCTTACATAACTTTGTGGATTCAGCCTGGCATGGAATCCTTTATTCCCTCTAGACGATTTCAGGTCAAGCCTAACTCTTCATTATGGTTTTCCTCAAATTGCGCTGCTGCAATTGCCAATCAAAACAATTACTCCATATCTATCAGCAAAACAATTCTCCAGAAAACAGACGTCTGTTTATTACTGCTAGAAACCATTGTAAAAAGCTTTGTCTAATGCCAAAGCCCGCTATTCTCAGGACATGAAATTTCGTATTTCATCACAAAAAGTAGGCTCTCATGACTTTTGGAGAATTTTTAATAGCATCAATAATAAGGTTAAATCTGTAATTCCACCTCTCTTGTATGGTTCAGACTTTGACAAAGCTGAATTGATTGCTAAGAACTTTTCATCAATATCATCTGGTTTAGTCGTCTAACAGGTTGATCCATTGCTTGACATTCGTATCAATCCAGCTTCTGTATCTAAAGTGATTTCCTGCTTAGATTCTTCTTCAGCTTGTGGCCCAGACAACATACCGGTTAGAGTCTTGCAGAAGTGTTCTCCAGAGCTGTCATCTATACTTTCAAAACTATTCAACAAGTGCTTATCAGTCTTGATTTCCACCCTGCTGGAAAGCAGCATTTGTTATCCCTATTTTTAAAAATTCTGGAGAGCGATTTGATTCGTCTAACTACCGTCTTATTAGTATCTTTCCTATCATAAGCAAGGTTTTTGAACCTTTAATTAACAAACACTTAATCTCTCATCTCGAATCTCATAACCTACTTTCTGATCATCAATATGGATTTCGATCTTCTCATTCTATGGCTGATTTGCTAACAGTCTTCTAGGATTAACTCTTACTTCTATTCTTTCTTGTAAACCATATATCAAATCAGTTGCAAAATTAGCATCTGCTAAAGTTGCACCTCTTTATCGAGCCGGACTCTTTCTTACTCCAGATTCTATTCTCTACCTCTATAAATCCCAAATCCAGCCTTGTATGGAATACTGTTGCCATATCTGCGGCGGATCTTCTAATGATACTCTTTCTCTTTTAGACAAGGTGCAAAAATGCTTTGTAAACATAGTTGGACCTGCTCTTGCAACCAACTTCCAACCATTATCACATCGTCGTAATGTCGCTTCTATTTCTCTTTTCTACAAATACTATGATGGGCACTGCTCTAAAGTGCTAGTGTCTCTTGTGCCATCTACTAAAATTCATTCTTGTGTTACTCGTCATTCAATTAAGTCTTATCCTTTTTCTGTGACTGTTTTTTTCCTGAACATCAGTTCTTTGGAATTTGCTTCCTACATCTTGCTTTCCTGATTCATATAATTCACAATCTTTTAAGTTGTCTGCCAATCGTTATCTTGCTCTACAATCTTCATCTTTTCTCTTCCAGTAACTTTTAACACTAATTAGTGGTTGCTTGCAGCCTTGTTGGAAGCGAAGAGGTTAAAAAGAAAAAAAAAACTTCAGAAAAATATATTGTAAACAAATGAATTTTAACTTAATGGTAAGTTATAAGAGAAGCTTAAGGTAACAAAATATGATGACTCATGGTAACTAAATGGTAAGTTATAGGAGAAGCTTTAAGTAACAAAATATGATGACTCATTTGAGCAGTAATCAATTTAGTGTGTGTACAATAGAATGAAAAAAAATGCAATTTTACAGGATGAGAAAGATTTATTTGGAAAGGTCAAGAAAAAGATAGCAAGAGCTTATTACATATCTAAATTTAAAAACAAAACAAAAAAACAACACTTTTAAATAAACTTTTGCAAACAGTTGCAAACAAAAAAAAAACCTGGGATTTCTTTGTCAGGAGATCCATAAAAGTTGACTTTGATGCACTTGTTGCAGCTATAAAGATAACCATATCATAATTATGTTTACAAATATAACTATATAACAACTAGGTTTACAAAGATAACTATATAATAATTAGGTTTATAAAGCAGTACCCATTATAGTATTTATTCAAGAAGAGAAAGAGAAGCAACATTATGGCGACGTGACAATGCTTGATGGTTGATTACTAAAGCAGGTCCAACAAAAAAAAAAAGAGGTCTATAAAGAAAAAGACATCATTCAAAGATCCAATTAGATATGACAACAGTATTCCATATTGCAATAACGATTAGCTGAAAAAAAATTGAGCTTTATCTGAGTTAAAGTTCACCAGCCATTAAGAGTCCCATGTAATAACAGAAGTGAGAACTTTTCAAGTTCAAATGCCCCCTCCAAGCAACCAGAGAGTGTTGGCTTCTTATCAAGACAAGAATAAATGGTAGTATCATCAGTGAACAATGCTACCTTAGATGTGAGAATTTCTGGTAGCTTGTTAAAGTAAATTTAAAAAAGTAAAGGACCAAAGATAGAACCTTGAAGAATGCCTGAAGTTACTGAAAACGAATGAGTGCTGTCCATCAAGGGCAACTTTTATACTACAATTGGTAAGGAAGGATTTAATAATCTTAAAGATGTTACCAGATACACTGTAAGAACAAAGCTTATGGAGTAGACCAGCATGACAAACTTTATCAAAAGCTTTAGAAATATCAAGAGCGATTAACCTTAACCTCTTCACTTCTATCTAAATCACAATAAAACTTATCAGTAATTACTGTTAGCAAATCAGTTGTAGAATGAGAAGATCGAAATCCATATTGATGATCTGAAAGTAAGTTATTAGATTCAAGATAAGAAATTAAGTGTTTGTTAAGTAAAGACTCTTGCTTATGATAGTAAAATTACTCACGAAACAGTAGATGAACAAGTTTAGATCACTCTCCAGAATTTTTGAAAATAGGGATAATAGATGACACTTTCCAGTAGGCTGGAAAAGAAGACTCTGATAAGCACTTGTTAAAGAGTTTTGAAAGTATAGGTGACAGCTCTGGGGACACAATGAAGCAATGGATCAATCTGTTTGTTGGCTATATCAGATAGGATGTGATGAGTGGAATCAAGAGATAAGATTAATGAAAAGTTCTTAGCAAAAAGTTTAGCTTTGTCTTTAGGTGAGGTAACAAAATTTGAACCATGAAAGAGAGGTGAAATAACAGATTTCACCTGTCATCACATGCTAGTGGAGAACCCCATTTATCAGTAAAAATTGGAATTTTTCAATCAAATTCTTAAGTGACTGGAACATGACATATATTACCTTTAAATATGTTATCAAATGGACTTTTTTCCAAATTGGTTTAGATAATAGGTTAAAAATGTATTAAAATATTGAAAAAATAATACCACCAATGATATAATTTGAAAGCCACCAAAAAGAAAAACTTTAGCAGGGTCACCTTTGAAAAATTTTAACTCACCAAACAGTTTAAAAACTTTTAGCATCACCAAACAGTTAGGTAGTCTTTTTTTTTTAACTTCTAATGAAATTGAATTTCATTAAAATTGAAAAACAGTGTCACTTAGTTATATCCGCCCCAACCACTTGTCATTGTTTATAAGAAGCTTTTGAGGCTGTATAAAAAGTAGAAGCTATAATGTTTCAAAGCAAAATCGACTAAAGCATTTAAATTTTGCAAAAATACTCTAAAAACAAAAAATTTTCCTTTTGGAAATTTGTTTTATAGACTGATGAATCCAAGTTTAATCCATGAATCCAAGCTTCCAGTCTGATGGAAAAGTATATGTCATATATACATATATTTATCAGGGGCTATTCTAGACCGTTTTTGACAACATCAACCATATTTAGGTGCTGCCCAAAATAAAATTTAAGAACATTTTTTTTCTTTATGTTTTTTATGGTGAATATTGTTTTTCTTTTGCGAAAAAATGCCAATATATATATATATATATATATATATATATATATATATATATATATATATATATATATATATATATATATATATATATATATATATATATATATATATATATATATATATTGGCTTTCCTATTGAAATAAGCAAATATATAAAAATAATGGAATTGTAAATAAAAAATTACTTGCCCAATGAGTTTATGAATTTATCATATTATAAAAACAAAAAAGAGTAGTAATATATTGTAAAAACAAAAACAAAAAAACAACCTTTTTCCTTCTTAGACTCTGTATTTGCATCTTTCATTTTTTCAGACATAGTCTTTTGATGAGCATTGACAGCATTAAATAACTTCACAACTACAAAAAATTTAAAACTTATATAAAATATAAGTGTGGTCCAATGGTTAGTGCTTAAAAAAAGCGAATTGATTTTGCCTAATTTTATTGCCATGAATTCGTTGAGTAACCTTTACAAAAATTTGAACCAATAAGATTTAGAGGTTGATATGACATGTTATAATACTAGTGTTGTTATCAACTAAATTGACTAAAAGTGGACTAGTTGAAATTAGTCAACTTTGAAAAATCGCGATTTAATTGACTTAATAATCAACTAAAAGTCAACTTAGTAGAGTAAAAACTTTAAAATTCTTATATCTTTTCATTCAATTTAACTTTTCTATCTTTAAATTTTGTTTGAGCAATTTTTTCAAATTCATTCGTCAAAGAAATTCTAGCAGTGCAGAAACATTAAGGAAAATCACAGTAATACAAAACATTTTATTTTACAAATCACATAAAGAATTAAAAAATGTGAAAGGATTGAGATGTATTCTTTTAAAATTAATATAAGTGATCAAATGATTATTACAACGGAGAATAAAAAATTCAAAAACATTTTCAGGAAATGAAACAAAAATATAGATAAGAATTACAATAGTCATAATCATAACTATTACCTTTTTTGTTTACTCTCATATAGTTTTATCCAATTCATAACATTATTTATACTTTTCTGCAGTGTTCTGTGATAAGACAGTCACAGACTGTGATAAGACTGTCACAGACTGCAATAAGACTGTCACAGACTGTGATAAGACTGTCACAGACTGTAATAAGACTGTCAGCACTTCTTAAAGCACCTTAATAACTACAAAAAAAAATTATATCTAATTAAACTTTTGTACTTCATTAATTATTATTTTAATTTTTTACTTGATGCAATCCATTGTAAATATGACTTTAAAGACTTTGATGTATAGCAAGTGTTTAAGGAAGTCCCTAAATGATTGAGGTCTAAAAATAAGTTGTTCAGTTTTGGTTGCCCTTCTCTCATTGTTTTGTTCATCTAATATTAAAATGATGTTAAAAGATAGAAAGCGAATACAAATTAGTTTAGTACTTTTACTACAATTTATTTCAAAAAAATAAGTTATTCCCATAATTCAACTAAATCGACTTTTAGTTGACTTCAAAAATGTATTATTTGATTTTAGTCGACTTTAGAAAAATATATTTTCTAAAACTAAAATTATTTGATTTTAGTAGAAAATTAGTAATATAATTTAGTAGAAAATTTTATTAAAGTAGAAAATATTTTAGTAGAAAATATATTAGTTTATTTAGTTAATAGTCAAATTATTTGTCATAACAACAATATATAATATTACAACCTCAGAATTAGGAAAAACAAAGTCAGCAATAATTTGCTGGCCTTAATCTTTTTGAGGTCTGCATTAGGTTGGCAAAAATTATTTGATACAAAGGTCTGACCATAAAACATAGAAACAAGGAAGGCAATTTTTTGCCCACCACAAACACTTTCAGATCGGCAGTTAGGTCAGCATTGCTGAATGCTAACCCTAATTCTCCATGTTTTTTGACATTTTGTATGGTTATGTAATGTTTACAGCAGAAAAATATAAAAAGTCAAGAGTATAATTTTTTTCATTTAAAAGTTGCACTTTCCGAGTACTCATATAAAATGTACTGCAGATTGTTGCTGTTCTTTTTTAATACTTTCGTGTCACCCTAATATACACATATATATAAAATATGTTAAAATTTATTCTCAGTAAGGCAAGAGAGAACCCTGCTATATTAAAACAATTTTACCTATTTACAGTAAATTTTCAATAAAAGCTTGACCCTACTTAAGATAGGCTTTAAATCTAATTTAAAAATTAAATATTAAATGAAACAATTCTTTAATTTAATGTAGCTCGTTATACACCTAACAATAAAGTTATCCAGGTGATGATTTAATCAGTTTTTTATCATCAATTAAATATTTTTTGTTAGAAAATTGCTGATAAAATTTAAAGTGACTAAGACGAAATAAAGATGTAGGTATATATCTAAGATGTAGATATATATCTAAGATGTAGGTATATATCAAAAGATGTAGATCTACTATCTACATCTTAGATAAATATCTAAGATGTAGATGATGTTAAAGTTTGTTTTATGTTTTTTTATTTATTAGAATAAAATATAGTTCAAGCGTTAAGTTGTTTTAAAATCAAAACATTATAGAAAAATAATAGAAATAAATTGGTAAGTAAAATACGTCGATTTGTTTTTTGAAAATACTTTTAAAAACAAATGAATTTAAATTGTACAAAAATTGTTATGTCACTCTTTCACTTTGAATTATATATTTAAAAGTTATTAAAAGTTAACGACTTTTTAAGTTAAATTTACTAAAAAAAAAAACAAATTAATTTGATTTTTGTAAACTTGTTTTGTTGCTCTCTCAGTTTAAGTTTTTCATTATTTTTTTATACTCATACTTTAATACACTTTAAAAAAAAAAACATTTAATAAATTTAAATATTTAATATCTGTATATTCATACTATATACAGTTATAACTATTTATACTACATACATTTATAAATCTTATGATTTTTATATTTTTAAATCATTATTAAATCTGTTTAACAATATACAGTAAACAGTAAGTTTAGCCAATCATTAAAGTTTACTTGAAAAAACAGAAACTAAAATTTTTTCGAAGAGCAATAATAGGAAAGATGATAGAACTATAATAATAATGAACATTTTTGAATTTTTATGTTTTATTGATATTATTTGTATTATTGGGAACTTCATTCATATTTATAAGGACTTTATTGTGTTAGAAAAAAAATACTTGTAAACTACAATGCAACATCACGCTATATTTCAACATTCGACTAATCATCCAACTTTAAAGACTTGACGCCTAAAGACTGCTGAGTATTATTAGTACAATGCAGACTGGAGAGCCTTAAAGAATCTAAATCAATAGGTTTTAATGGGCTTCATCTGATAGTCCTAAAATTATGTGCAACTGCCTTTACTACACCTTTTAAATTAGGTTGCCTAGAAGAAAGCATTGTTGCAGACCTTTAGAGAAAATCAAAAGTAACATCTATTGTCAAGAAAGGGTCCAGAACAAAAATATCGAACTGCTGTCCTGTTTCACTTACATCTGTACCCTGCAAAGTCCTCAAAAGCATAATTCACAATCAAATTATGAAATTCTGCAAGGAAAACAGCCTTATCACCAAAAAGCCACATGGTTTCATGAACAAAAGAGGCTCGCTAACAAATCTACTTGAAGCAAGAGATATCTAAACTGAAGGTGTTCACAAGGTAATGCTATTAATGTAATTTACACTGACTTTAGTAAAGCCTTTGATAAGGTATCACACTCCAGTATAAAGTCAAAACATACAGGATTGGTAGGTCATTAATCAATTGGATTAAACAATGGCTCATCAATAGATGACAGAGAGTGGTAATTGATTACCATGAATTCAAATGGAAGAGTGTTACAAGTGAGGTACCACAAGATTCAGTTCCCACTACTGTTTGTTCTCTTTATTTACAATCACACTGATAATATCACTAACCACATCAAAATATAGGCTGATGATTGTAAAATTATGGGAGTTATCAAATCAATTGAAGATGCTGTTTTTTTGCAAAATGACATGAACAAAGCAGGAGCTATTCAAAACAGACAAGTGTAAAGTGATGGATGAGGCAAAAAAGGAAACAAATCCGCACACAACTACACAATAGAAAAAGAAGATAATGCACATCATCAACTATAAGTCACTACCACTGAACATGACCTTGGTGAACTTATCTCAGATGATCTCAAAGTCAAACAACAGGTTAATTTTGCAACATCAAAAGCGAACATAATGCACAAAAAAATTAAAAAATCATTTAGAGGCAGATGTATACTGCTTTGGAAAGTGGTCTAAACTACTTATTTTAGACCACACTTAGAATTTGCTCTAAGTAGTCACCTTATCCTAAATATGAAATAATAAAACTTGCACAAATCCAGCACATGGAAACCAAAGTAATTACTACGCTTAAAATCTTTTTTACAAAGAAAGACTCTTGGACTAACCACCAGAAGAAAATGTGGAGATCTTACACAAAAGTATAAAATAATACATGGTTTTGAAAAAGTTGACCAAAAACAGCACCTGCTACTTCACACTATGATCTACATTGCCACAACCTTCGCCTGGAAAAAAAGAATGTGTTAAACTGTGCTGAACGATTCCATTACTTCACAAACTGTGCTGTAAATGAATGGAATTCTTTATTATCTCAAACTTCAAACACATCGTCGACAAATACTTTCAAGAACTTTCTTCGCAACAAGATAAATAGTCAACCGGATACAAGAACTTCCGAGAACTTTCTTCACAACAAGATAAATAGTCAAGAAGCTCATAAAGCAGGTGAGAAAACTAAAGAAATTCATGCCACAGTGTGCTTTTCCTAGAATTAGAAGAGCGAATATTACCAATAGTTTTCAATAATTATTTTGGTTTTACAGCCGTCGGAATTAGGGTTGGAATTTGGCAATGCCAAAAAACTGCTGATCTCAATTCTATGTTTTATGGTAACCCCTTTGTGTCAAACTTTTTTGCTGATCTGATGCCTACCTCTAATAGTTTAAGGTCAGCTTTTTATTGCCGACCTATTTTTCCTAATTCTGAGGACTGTGTATATATATATATATATATATATATATATATATATATATATATATATATATATATATATATATATATATATATATACAGTCAAAGAAATAAGTATCCGAACATAACATTTTATTGTGAAAAATAAACTGTCAGGTTATTTCAGAAAAATATGTTTTTGATAAATACTTTTGTAATTATTCCAAAAACAAATTTAATCATGATTTTATAAAGCAAAAAATTAATCAATGGTAATTAACTTGCGTTGCTAAAATTTAACCATTCCCGAAGGAGTGTTAAAACTTTAACGAAAAATAATTATCCAAACATGTTTTTTTGTAAACGAAGTTTTGAAATTGAT